ATACTGATTTTCCATAAAAGTTATACGTTATAAAACTTAATATTTTTATGGAATTTTTATATCAAATTTTTATTGGGCTAATATTCTTGTTTTAATTAGTATATTTTATTTTATACCATTTTCTAGTGTAGATTGTGAAAGGGATTTTCTAAACAAAATTTAATTAAGACTGATATTCGTAATCAGCTTAATAATAATATGTTACATATGTTAATAATAATTGAATTGCATAATATAAATTTAATTTTGATAGCGCATTACAAATTTGGTATCAAAGTTGTAAAAGAAGAATTAAATAAATAAATATAATGATAATATTTGATTAAATACAAAATTATTTTTTTTATTTTTTTTTAATAACTGAAAATTTTTTATATGATTGAAAATTTTTTTCAATAATTTTTCAAAAAAACTGATAAATTGAAAACTCATTGGCAAAATTTTTGATAAATTTAAAACCTTATTTTTAACCCTGATCTTGACATGAAAAACTGCATGTTTTCTTTTAGATTATTTTTCAGATATTTATAATTGTATTAACAATAAAAAGATGTAATTTTTAATTTTATAACAGGTTGTTACGTAAGATTTATCAAAAAAAAAATAACACAAAAATCAGTTTTTTTATTCTATCAATGAAAATGAAGGATTCACAGCTCTGTTATTTATCTTTAGGCTATAGTTCTTCTTATAAGCTTAGTTTATTTAGTCGTGATTTTTCTAATTATTTTAATACTAATATTATAATTACTGAAAATACAGGTCAGGTATTATCATGTGATCATGTATATTATAATATATACTTTAGTCAAAAAGAGTTCAAGTGCTTGCATTGTCTAGATTATATAAAGTCTGATGTTGACGAGCATATACATTCACTTTTAGATCATTTATGTTAGCTTAATTCAAATAATAAAGTTGAACTTAAAGAACCTGACATTCTTGAAGATGATCATAATAATAAAGAATCTATTGATAATATATCAGATTCTTGAGACAATACAATATGACGATTTCTTCAACAGTAATTAGCTTATAATCAAAATTATGATGTATATTTTATTAGCATACTAGACATTTGTATGATTGGCCATTACACAAAATCATGTAACTTAGCTTTTTATATTGTTTAAAGTAAGGTAAATATTTTGTTATCTTGTTTTATTTTCATGTAACACTAAAAAAAATTTTTGATTATATTCTTAGAAGTCTGTTATAGCACTTTTTTGAAATTAATTCTGTTAATTACACAGTTTTTAACAGATATATTTAGCAATTCTAAACATCAGTAAAATTTTCAAGACGCAGATCTACGCAAGTCAGCAGGGTTAAATATATGCACAGATCATTGACATACCGCTATGAGTTGTAGCAAAATTTTTATCAAACCTATGCAGATCTGCATTATAAAAAAATCTGTAAAAATTTTTAATAATAAATCTTCAGAAAAAATCAAAATAATTATGCAATATATTATAAATTTATTTTGCAATTTATTTTGTAATTTGAAGGCTAATGATATATTTAAAATATTTTAATATTATTATTGTTTACAATTACTAACAAAAGGTTTTAAGTAAAAAAACGTAAAAAATTAAAAGAAAACTAAGAAAACTAACTAAAGAAAAAAAAATAGCGAAATGTTTAGAAATTAATTAATTTTTAGAACTTTTATTTCAAATTCAAAAAAAAAGTTGAAAAAGACAGATACTTCTGTTCTGACTAACAAAAACCAATCAACTTTCTACTTAATAATTATCCAAAAAATATTAGAATAATGAAATATCCTAAAATTTACTTTTTAAAACTGAAACTTCACTAGTGTCAGCTGATAAATTGAGAATCTAATTCGTTAACCTAAAAAGCATAAGTTCCTTTAATAATAGAATTTAGATATAACAAACATTGATATTTAACTTACAAAATTTTCATAATCACTATCTTCAAAAGTCGCTTCAGTTTCTATTATCTAACTTTTCTATCGCTTTCTCCTTGCTTTTTCTTTCTTGCTTTTTCAGCTTCTCTTATTTCAGTCTCTGCAATTTTGTCTATTATTTGTTGTATCACAGAGTCATTATTTTCAAAAGCTTGCTGTTAATATAAATAAATCATATATTAATAATTAAAAAGTATTAAAGTAAATTTCTGAACTTTGGAATAATGCGATTATTTACCAAAAATGCATTTACTCATCTTAGAATAGACTTATCGTTACTTTTGATATTAGAATTCTTTAGATTTAACATAATGTTATATATAAAAAGTATATATGCGCAGTGTATTGTTGGAAGCTTTTCTTTGTATAACTTAAAGATGTTATACCTGATTGTTAAAAGCAGTTCAGGTTTATTAAAAAGATCTTTGTACACTCTTTTTATTTTTTCACTTGACTTCTACTTAGCTAATTTTAATGGAGATGTATTATTATCAACGTGTTCTAAACGATTTTTACCAAATGTTGAAAATAGCGCACTTCAAATATTCACAACGATATCGTTTCTTTTGCTTCTATCCTTTTGCTTGACCTATAAAATTTAAAATTATTCAGAATCTTTTTGAAGATCACTGAAGCTCCTAATCTAAGATTTCACTTACTTCTGTTAATAATTTTTCTTCGAATAAAAATATCCAGCTATTTTTTCTATTTGCTAGATAAAATGCTCTGCATGCTTAGAGAGATATTCTTCTAATACCTCCTGATATTTCTGAGTTAAGAGAAATAGAATATTTGGTAGAAGTTTTTTTGCAATTTCCTTATAAGTACTCTAGAAAGAAAATCATTAAGTAATTAATTGAAGATTAGCATATACTTTTTTAAAATAACTTATAGCTCAAAAAGCATCCAAAAGTTCATCAAGTATAACAAGTTTCATCAATAACTTCGCACTTTCTTGTTATTTGTTACTGATGAATCTACAAAGTTTGTATATAATATTAATTTTGGTGTTTACTAATTCCCTTATATATTTGAACTCGTTAATAATTAAGTAGTGTCTGTGATCATCTTCTTCAACTAGTCATGGCATTTTGAATAATGAAAAAAATTTTTTACTCATTGATAAAGAATCAGGATCATCATTACAGACGTTATATAGTAAAGAATCATCATCAATCATCATCAAATCAGTTGATTTCCTGTTAAGTAGTTCAACTGATTTTCTATGAAAAGACATCATAGATATAGAACGTTTGAGGGGTTCTGAAGGTCTAGAAGGTGTAGAAGGTCCTAAAGATCCTAATAATTCTGAAGGTTCTGATAGTTCTGAAGGCTCTAACAGTCCTAAAGGTTTGGTTAAGAAGATAGATTCTTTAAGGGATAATGGATTAAAAGTTAGTTATAATATTAATTTTTATTTATGTTAGAGATTACTTAAGGCAATGACATTTATTAGGTAATTTTTTAGGGGGTGGGGGGTAAATAAAAATCTTATATTACACAATATATATTGATCACGTGATAATAGTAATGTAAATCACGTGATAATAGATCGATCAGATCACATGATAATCAATAATAGTGGCTTAGTAATTTATTATATTTATTACATCTAAAACGCATACATTTACATATACATATATATAAAATATGCATATACACATACACGCATACATACAAAAAAAAATTACCTATTTTCTATCTGAAGCATATTCTCTTAAAGTCATTTCATCTAACAAAAGCATTTTCTCTCCTTGTTGGGCTAGAAGAAGTGAAAAATCGTTAAGAGTCAAAGAATTTTGCTCAATTTGACTTTTAGATTTTCTTTTAGATCATTCACGAGAATGTTTTATTCGTTTGTGATTTGTTAAAAAGGGGAGAGTTGGAAAGTACTTTTTACATTCAGAACAGCAAAGGCGCAAATAAGTTGTTTTGTTAAGAGATGGATAATGCGAATCATATCCAAGAATCTTTAAACAATCATAATATTTGAGAAGATGTATTGGATTCATATAATGTCCATTCTTTGCTTTTGTGATAGGAGGCAAAAAACCGTCATTTATTTGAAGAAATTCTATGGCTTCTTTTACACAAGGTGGCCTACAGTAGTCTACATTTGTACATCGTTTGATGTCGAGAGAATATTGGCACAAGTTACAATAGTTTTCAATCTATAACCATAGTATAAAACATTCAGTTAAGTTGATTATTTCTTTCTTTTCTTTTTCCTTTTGCTTTTCTTGTCGTTTCAGTTTTTCTGCTTTCTCTTTATTCATATCCTCAAATTGCAGATTTTTGAATGGATTTTTGAACTCTTTGACATACTTGGCATTTACATGCTTTCCAAAGATTAAATCACGATTTCAAATATCACAAAGAGTTTTTCCAGTATATTTGAAATTTTGAAGAGCTAATTCTGGATTTATCACTTTGCCTTGTGTGTTTAAATGCATTTCAAAGTGGTTTATTGGAAGCGTAATACCTGTCAACTTGCTGGATAGTGTCACCATTCTCCTTTCAACAAGATTGTACTTGAATTATCCTGAGGTATGCATTTGTATACTCAGATAGTTCAGGTTGAATTTTCTAAAGAGCTAACAATAAATTTTTATATTTTTTAGATGCCTTGGGTTCTCGTCTGGTCCTCCGTCTACTAATAGTACCCAAATCGATAGAATTTCTCCGTTAAACTTCAGTACATCATCATATTGGGAATCTTGGGTAAGACATTCAAGATCCTGCATGTGCGTAAGTGAGGATGTACCAAGTGACCATTGACGACATACAAAGATAGTAAGTTGACCCGTCTGTAGATCATCATTTTTCATTCAGTTTTATCATAAGATAATTGATAGAATTAATTTTTATCCAAACCCTGCAGAAAAGTCATGATCTGCTACACTTATAGGTTCATTAATTGATTGTAATCTATAAAATGTTCATTCTACTGCAGGTATACCTAAACCAATCTTCGCCTCATCATCTTGAGAAATAATAACATTCACATCAGCAAATAGTGAAGCAAATTGCTTTACATATTTTACTGATGCAAGGCAATAGTGTCCGTCGGGGTGATCTTGTATTTCTGTTTGTAAAACACCAGATACTGCAACTCACGCTAGGTGATGATGCGCCCTTGCAGTAATCAAGTTGGCTTGTTGAGGTAGCAGATAATTATTTAGTATTATTCTTACCATATAGACATTGTAGTTTTCCTTAAGATTTTTACGCAAATTTTCAATTATTCGAACTTTAACTACTTCTTTTCTTCTTTTCTCATCAGCTGTCCCAAACTCAATCGAATCATGAATATAATCATATAAATTTAGGTGTTTAAAAAGAAGTGGAAGATGACTGGGTTTATCATACTGTATCACTTCCTGATTTTCGATAAGTATTTTTCTTTTTTTTCTTTACATTTTTGAGCATAACTTGCATTCTTTGTAATTTAATAATTCTCTCTTTATTAGATTTGATTTCAGCTCAAAGATCCTCTATCCTTATATATATATCATGCTGAAGTTGATAATCAATGATAAAATTATAGATTTATTCAAATTCGATGAGTTTCTTTTCAGTTATTGTTATTTCATTTGCCGCCTTTTTTTGAGCTGATACATTTACTGGAATCTCTAGTTTGGAATCTGCTGAATGATTAACAGAAGGAGTTGAAGCCATAATTGGATTTTTTCTAGGTATAGGACGTTTTGGCCTCAAAGTTTGTATATCGTATAGATTAATCTTGTTCCATTCTTGTGCAGCTTCGTGACAAGTATCAGCATGGTTAGGAGTATCATTTCCTGTCTTAACCATAATGCTGTATACATAGATGTTTGTGAAATTTTGATACTTATTTGCGGAAGACTTATATATTAGTTTCTTGTCAAACTTAGGGTTAAGAAAAAAGGTCTGGCAATTCATTTTACTTAAATATGATATTGATTTATTTTTGTTTTATGAAAAAAGTTCTTTGCAGTGAAAGTATGAAAAAAATTGAATGTGTTCAAGACTAGTTTTTTTAAGCATAAAAACCTCTTCCTCATGTAGCAATATATATAA